AACAGCTCACGTTCTATGGACTTGGGCATTACAGGATTACGATATAAAAATATTTGATTCAGCTTATACCACAATATATGCCTTTAATGAAATAAAATAAGATGGAGTCATTTGATAGAAAGTTAATTTTAGTGACTTTTGTTAGGTTGGGCCTAGTTTGAAGAGTTACACTATTATGAAAATGCAAAATATCACTATCTTCTGCTTCCAAAAATGCAACTGTGTGTTAAAACCAAATTATCATATTTGATACGTTCTCCTATCTAATACTACTAGATAACACCAGACAATTTAAAATGAAATAGATTTTTGTGACAAAAATATAACACTTATGGCTTGGATCAGAAAAGAAAAATGAATTTGGTCCACACTTGTTTGTGGAATTATAAATGTTACAGGATGTCTGAGGAAAGGAAACAGAAGATTACCATATTTATTCAGTTTGGGGAAATATAATTTTCTCTGTTTTATGAAATGTTCTTTGATTAGCCTGATAATCAGTTTAAATTTCTTAAAATTAGGTGATTCTACATATACCTGGCTGTATGAATAAAATGAATCTTACTTGCATTTCTTAAATAACAATTAGGTTTAGTTATACAAACATCAAATCTCTTCCTAAGGACAAATCATATATATATATCTATGGCAAGAACTTGCTATTAGCTGTTTTAATTCATTGCTGAATGGGAATTTCATAGTCTAACTGATCTTGATGCAAAGAGATCCAGGATTGTAAAGAACTTCTTGTATATCCTGTTTAAAATAAAGTGACCAAAATGGAGCAAACCTCAAAAGTGTTGGCTGTAATACTATAAACATAGTCACAGAGAAGTTTGAGAAATATGCATTTTAATTGTGCAAAGAGTGCATGTGCTATATTCTCCATGATTACATCTTTAGAGATAATCTCTCTCAAACATTCTTGAATAAACAGGACTTTTTTGGTAAAAAGCTGGCTTGACCTTTGAAATCTTTTGCATACCATCATAACCTCAGGAAAGAATGACCAGAGCACATCAATACTAAGATATAGAAGAATGAGGAATTGTGTTAATCTTGCCAAGGTGTTTTAAAGACCACACTCCTCTTAAGGAGTTTTCAGAAAGATTAATTGTGCTAGAAATACAAATCTGTACTGGTCAACGTGATGAACACTCAAAGCTATAAAGCCATCTAATATCCTTAAATTTTCAGGTTATTAGGTTAGTGTCTGATTCATTAGTTTACCAAGTTTTGGCTAATTTACAGAAATTATCACAATCAGATAATGACATTTCCCATTGTACATTAATAATTACAAAATAAAAAGGAATTAACAAAATAATTGAAAAGTACTAGATATAATGTTATACATTTATGTCATTTTTATTTCAACTAAACCTTGACCTTTATAATCATAAACCTTTGTGGCTAGTGAATTCAGGGTTCATGCTTCTGAAGTCAGAAACTGAATTAGGTCCTGTGTAATCCATTAACTTACTTGATCCCATGACAGCTACTTTGCATCAGAAAGCCACCAAATACATGCCATTCATTCCAACAGGTTAATAAACGTGACTGGATCTGTAAGACTGGTTTTCAGATGGGAAAGAATCAAAGTTCTCACAGATATAATGAATATGGTAGGAAACTTGCTTAAGTTATTCTTTAAGCTTAGTAAATATTTTCATATATTGACACCAAAGAGAGAGGGCCAGAAACTAACAAATGTTCATTAACCTCTCTCCAGACATCCCCAACCTGTGAAATACAAAATAAAAAATTATTTCTAACAGTTTACTAATTATTCTTCACAAATATACTAGACTGAAAATATATTGTGCATTAGTATGCCTCTATTATATAAACCCCCATGATCAGAATGCAGATTTATAATAAACAATGGAACACAATTCATTCAGGAGCACAATTAGTCATTTAAAACTACATTTTTCCCACTTGTTTATTTTGTAGTTTTAATATTGAGAAATACTATTGAGCTCTTCGGTATAGCTGTGTCTTTTGTCTGTGTATCTTTAAGCACTAAGCCTAGTGCCTGGCACACATACACAGGTATTCATTAAGTGATTCCTGAATAAATGAAGGAAAGGTTAGTAACTAGGTTTTCTTACGGTAGACTTACTAACATATGACTTGAAACTATATTGAACAATATGAAAACAAAACACTTCTAGTGCTATGCAAAAGGATTAATAACTAAATAAAAAGCAAGAAGCTAAAACAACAACTATTTCATAATTTCCTTTTCTTGAAAGAAAATAGCAAATGAACAGGGAGTTTCATTTATTTTTTTGTTTTGGTTTTTACTATGAGTACAGATAACATCATTACTGGGTGAAAATTCATGTTTGAGCCATTGAACATTTTTTAAAAACTTCATTTAATGAAATATGTTCTACAAAATCTCATGACCGCCCCTTACCATGAATTCTGAGTGTATTGAGTGTATATGTTTGAATTTTTTCATATGTCTGTTCACACCCCATTTTTTACAGTTTCTGATATTCCTTGACAATTTCTGATTTCCATTTACATTTGTCCATTGCCAACCCAGGAGAGACAAGATCCATGAATCTTAGCAGGAGATGAAAATTTATCAAGCCTCAGGCACAGTGGCAAATGCCTATAATTCCAGTGACTCAGGAGGCTAAGGCAGGAGGATCTCAAGTTTGAGGCCAGCCTCAGCAACTTAGTGAGACCCTGTCTCTCCCTGTGCAAAAATTAAAAGGACTGGGAATATAGCTCAGTTGTACCGTGGGTTCAATCCCTAGTATCAAAAAAACAAAAAAAAAAAAAAAAGGAAAGAAAATAAAAGAAAAAATGTATCAGCAAAGGCTTTTTCAAATCACATTTAATGATCTTATCAGGAGGTGACTTATAATAAGCGGAATCCTGACAATCCTTTGGTGTCTTTTAGAGCTGTATCCTAACTAGACTTCAAAAAACCAAATGGGCAAATGATACTGGCACACAACCAAGTAACATTTTTCTCTTTTCTCCTTTATCCACTGTAACTGTCAGCAATTATGACTTTTGAAACTATCTACTTTCATAACAACCTCACAAAGCCACTGAGGCCTAACAGTGTTTTGGGCAGTGTGATATATCAAATATTCACCATTTGTGAAGTGAAAAGGTGAGAAAATTTTAATTTGGACTAAAGAGTTAATGATGGATATTTAGCTAAAAAGAAATGATAAATGATTTTTAGGTAACAATTATACTTGGTTTTTCATACCCTAATAAATTGTATGAACCCTAATTCAACACGGAATTCATTACTCAGTGAATGTCAGATGATGATTATTGGTCAAGGTTTCTTATATTTTGTAAGTTACTGTCCCTATACACAACCATGCAAATGACCCACGAAGGAATGCAGAACTCCAAAATCATGGTTCATGCTTTTAGATATGAAATTTAACTCAAGAGTTTGGACAGTCCAATTCCCCCATTTCAGAAATGACAAAACCCAAATCCAGGAAGCTTAGAACCTGTTCAGGGACACCAAGTCTAGTGGATTAGTTAGCAGCACTGGACTTCTAAGCCAGAGTTCTCTTCATACAGATAAGGTGTTGCTGCTACTTTATGAACTTACATCTCTTAAAGCCTTTAATGTTTGCATATATTCAAAGATAGTACAATCAAACCAGTTAGAGAGCCTGGCAAAAGCCTCTTTTTCCCCCCATGAAATGATGACCTTAACCTTAACTGTGAACAGGTATGAGAGCCAAATTGAGTGGTGATTTTGATGCCTATAACACTGCTCTCACCTTCCTGCTGGTTACAGCACAGTTTGGTATAAAACTTAAAAATCTAGGAGTTTCATCCTAGGACAATGACATAAATCCAAGCTGATTGAAGATTCTACCATCTTTCAAAGGTTACTTTTGCTAAGAGAGTTGATAAATAAAACACCATCATATTACAGTGTATTTCTAATATCCATATTTAGTAAGTGGCATTTTTGTAATGTGCCTATAACAATTATTGTGAGGGATTTGTTTTTATTGATTTGCCATTCCACCAAAGTGAAAGGTATGAAAGATTATGGAATGTCACACACAAATATGTATCATTTACAAATGTGAAGAGCAAATTTTTATGTGGTAATTTTAATGGGGTGTCCTTTTACAATAAAAAGGAACTTAAATTATTTTATTCAATTTTGACATCCATAATCTTTCACTTTGGAGGTAAGTTAGCAAGATAAAGTAACAAAGCACACAGTGGAAATTACAAAATTTACAATGGCAAGATTCTCTGAGATCTTCTACAATGATATGGGTCTCCACCATCTAAGAACATTTCCAAAACTGCTTTAAAACACATTTCAAAGGTACGTTTTATAAGTCTGATATTAGTAGACTGTTTACAAGTATATCGTACTTCATGTGAACTAAAGTCCATTTATATTGAAATAGTCAAGAAATACATTTTTGTTAGGAGTAGTATGTGTTGATAAGTAATACAGCACTGATTCAAACTCAAAGCACCTTTAAGATGGGCCTGTAAACCTTGCTTTACTAGTATACAACCTCAAATAGCCATAGAAAACTCTCCAGTGGTCTCTGAAATCTCTACTTCTGCCAAACTCTCTGCCTCTCTTTCTCCAGTAGTCTTCTGCACCATATGCTGGATCCTAAAATACAACCGATCCTACTTGAAAGCCCAAGAATACAAGCTAACCTCCTGGAAATCCTAACCCGTCTCTCTGTAAATAGCCTACTGCTAGTTTCTACACTTCAGGACATTGAATTTCATGGGGGAGGGGGGGGTCTCCCTCATTTCTTTTCTTTCCTCTTTGATTTCTGTGCCCTTCCTCCATCAGCCTCCCCTTTCGTTTCCCTGACCCTCAAGGACCACAGCACTTCTACCTTGCCTCTTCTTTTCCCAAATCACACCTCCGTTCTACATCACACTAAAGCGTCTGGCTGGGAGAGAAATAATGTGTTATATACATATTTTTTCCCTTCTAACTCCTGCCTTGTGAGTACCTGCAGTTCCTTTGCCTGAGGACCCCAGTCCTTTGCGGGGAAGGGGAAGAGGTAGGGAAGCCCCTCGGCTTCAGTCCATCTTGCACACTCAGGGCTAATACAGCGGGGCGGGGCGGGGCGAGTTTGGCCTTTACTGCGCCACAGCAGGTGGGGGGTGGGGCGGAGGCGAACCGCGCCCAGTCCGATTTCGGACAAGCTGAAGAGAGGCAGAGAAGGAGATGGGGCCGCCCCCGCACCCCGGGACGGGAACTCACCTTCTCTGAGGCAAGGGCGGGTGTCTACTTTAAAACTACTGCCCCCCCTCCCCGCCGCCGCCATAGTGGAGCCGCCAAAGCCGCCGCCGTCGCCACAGCCATCGGCGAGCGGGCAGACAGGGGTGGAGGTGGCGGAGGAGGCAGGCACAATCACTGCCACCGCCGCCGCCGCCGCCGCCGCGCAGGCGACGTAGGAGGAGGAGGCGGCAGAGACGGTAGCTTCCTGAGGGGAAGACTCCGCGGCCAGCAGGATGACTGTGCTCGGCGCCGCCGCCATCGCACAGCGAGGCGCGTACAATTGCACTTGCGCCCCGCTCATGTTAGGCTTCTTTAGCTCCGCCTTCCTCTTAGCTCCTCCCCCTCGCCCCTCTTTTTCTCGCTTGAACTGGAGCCTCGTTCTGGCTCCTTCTGTCCGCCAATGGGAATGCTGTACACCCACAGGACGCCGCCCCTCCCACCTCCTCCTGCTTGGCGTCACCAGCCTCCCTTTGGAGGGAAAGTGATGATAGCCAAGGGTAAAGGTCAAAAAGCGCGGGGTGTAAAAGCACGTGGACCTCACACAGTGAGGCCTTTTGGAGCATCTATCTAAAACCAATTTAATAATAATAAAAAGTAAGTCTGGAAATGTATTGATCCCACCTCCAAATTATCTCTAAAGTACATTTTATTCTGTTTTACATCCCTTAGTAAAAAGATTAGAAATAAGAATCTTTGGTCACTACATTTTCCCCATGGCCTCTTAAAGGACTGTTTATCTGTACATCTACCCATCTAAATTACAGTGAAGTTCCGTCCATCTGGTACCCAAAGAACTGGGATATTACTGATTTTTTTTTCTTTCAAATTCCCTTACTCCCCAATCCTGATTCATGCTTATTATTTCCTTGCTCTTTTAACATTTTTTCACATAGATGTTTGTCTAACTAATATTTCTTAGTTTTGATTGGTTTCAAATTTCACAAATATTTATATCTTTTTCTAGGTAGCATTCTGGAACTGTTCCTTTTTTGTGGGGGTGGGGGAGCCAGGGATTGAACTCAGGGGCATTCGGCCTCTAAGCTACGTCCCCAATCCTATTTTGTATTTTATTTAGAGACCGGGTCTAATTGAATTGCTTAGCACCTCGCTGTTGCTGAGGCTGGCTTTGAACTCGTGATCCTCCTGTCTCAGCCTCTGTAGCCGCTACAATTACAGGTGTGTGCCACCCTGCTCCCCTGCCTGGCTTGAAACTGTTTCTTTAACTCAGCATTTTGATTCAAAGAAGCACACATGTTGTCACTTGGAGTTGTAGTTATTCACTCTCAGTGTTTTACATCCCATCCATTGCCTTGTTGATAAACATACCTCCTGGTACATGTATGAAAAAGTATGCTCTCCTTTCCAGGCTCACTTTCATTACTGTATTTAAGTACTTACGATGTCTTGTCAGAACTATGGTATCCTATCCCACTAATCTCCTTACCTGTGGTCTCAGTGCCTCCAACCTGTTTCAATATTGCTATCGTTCATCACCAGCTCTCCATCGCCTATGGGATAAAATTAAAGGGCACATATTTGCATTTACTAATCCCCCCTCGCCTTCTGATCTCACTTCTTTTCACTCCCCCAACCCCTCCCCTCTTTTAGTTTATGATTCAGCAATACTAAATCTTACAGATTCCTGTGGAGTCCATGTTATTTCATGAGGCAGTGTTATTATATATGTTCTTCCTTCTTCCTAATATACCCTTCTGCCCACATAAACTCAGAAAACAAGATAATAAATCACCTCCTCCTGGTAACCTCTTTTGTCTTTTCTTAAGAGTTAATCCCCATCTTGTGTACTTCCACCTATACCTATTGCATATTTTTATTGTAATTAATCATATTTTCTGCCTCCCCTCTTGATAGCCTGGAGCCATTTTGAGACTAAAGATATTCTGTTTTATTTTTTACTCCAAATGCTCCAGCCCAGTAAAGTCCTAAGACAAAAGCATTGACAGCCCCCCTCCAGGTCCCTAAGCCCCACAGATACTTGTGTTTTTCCTTGCACAATTGTTTATTCTTTCTCAAAGCTTAAAAGGGAGGTTTCAAGCAAAAATTACTTTAAAACATTTGAATATTTGTCAGTTGTGGCTCTGCATTCCTGAATGGCAACAATTAGCTGAAGCTGAAAAACAAATTCAAAGGCTCAGTGTGCTGGGCTTATAAAAATGTATCTTTATGGGATTTTGTTGTTGTTGTTCAGATTTACCCAAGAATACTGGAGTAAGTAAGTGGTTTCTCACTGGCATTCTGTAAATTAGGGTATCTTCTGGTCATTGAAGAAATTATTAGATAGGCCAGGCAAAAGAAATATTCTGCTGAAATAGCCAGTAGGACAAGGTAAACATAAAAATGGGGTGTGATTTTATCCCTTCCAATATGAGGGAGGAAATCCCTCAAACACATTGCCCCTCTAAATATGAATCACAGTTCACTTGTGTAAGAAATATTCACTCAGAATGGGGGAGTGTGAATCAGTCAACATTCAGTCAGCAAAAAAAGAAATTGCATTAGGTATTTCAAACAGAAAAGAAAATTAATGTAGGAATCCAGTACTTAAAGGAATAAGAAAGGTTAGAGGAGTAAAACATTTGTGTAAATATCTATGATATTTTTCTATAGAATGGAGACTTTAAAAGCCAGTTTACCTGGAATTCAGCAGGTAAAGAATATGAATTTGGGGTGGGGGGAGTCTTAGCATCCTTCTGTGACTTTCTTTTGAGGATCTGTGATATTAACAGAAATATTCAGCAGTTCTCTGACCTGTGTAGCAATAATGATTATAGTAGTCAACAAATATCTATTAAATTATAGAATAACTTCTTTCTCCTGAGACCCCATGGAAAATTCTGTGTCTGCCATTCAATCAAATAGTAAAAATACGAGAAAGGGTAATACATTAAATGAAAGAAAATGATTTTTCTCCCCATTCTTCAACTCCATTTGGTCACATGCTATTTCTATCTGCTAGGCCAGTACTTTCAAGCACAATCATTTAAGCTTGCAGAAAAAAAAAAGGTGGTGGCACCTTTAAATAACTGAAAATTGGCCTCTAAAGTTGCTTTTTGTGTCAGACAAGGTCTGCCAGAGAAACTTCCAAGGTCATCTAGAAGTGAACAATATGTCTTTAAATTTGCCCAGCTAACCTGCCCCACATTTCGGTGACCAAGAAGTGAATTTTGCTTGCTATAATATTAAATTCTGTGCTCATTGGTGGTCCTATCTGTCATTTTCTGAACATGCAATGTAGGAAGAGGCATGATGTCAAACAGCAAGCTCAAGAATGTGCCTTCTGGCTGCTGTTGTGGCTCATTGGTAGAACACTTGCCTAGCATGTGTGAGGCACTGGGTTCAATTCTCAGCACCACATATAAATAAATAAATAATAAAGGTCCATTGGCAACTGAAAAAAATTTACAAAAAGAATGTGCCTGATGAGTCTATTGTACATGAATATATGAGTTTCTTAAAAACAAACAAACAAAAACCCTTGCTTTGTTTGCCTGGGGAAACACTGCTTTTTTAAAAGTGGTCTCCTTTCTTCCTTCAAGTAATAAACCTACCTTCACATTTTAATTTCCTTGGTTATAGTCAATTAGCTTTGTATTCCCCAAGGGGTGAACCCACTGCCTTCTTACACTATAACATGAAAATGTCACCAGATTTCAGTCATATACTATGATAATCCTACACACTTTTCTTTCTCTCTCTTATACTTATCATTTTTCTCAGTAACTATAATGTTATTAAATGAATGCTAAAGTAATTTCTTTCACAAGAAAGGCATAGAATGTTGTAAAGAATAATAATTGTAAATGCCTATTATGGGCCAGACATTTCCCATAATTTCCCGTTCATCTCACAATGTTGATGTTCTATTGAGCTCATTTGCTGAGAGCCATAGCCAAGTAGGAATGATGCATGGCATTTTGGGTTGAAAGGTGACTCTGCTCAGGGATTAGGGTGGCTCCAGGTTTAGGGTGGATCCTGCTGGGATTAGGGCGTATCCTGCTGCCTCAGGAGTCCGCTCCTTTGGAGTTCCCGTTGAGTTCTCGCGGGGTTCTGAGAGAATTGGTGCGTGGAGCCGAGTGGAGGCAGGGTGTTCACGGGAAGTGTGGGCAGAGTGTCGGTGAGAGTTCGGGAATAAAGAGTTGCTGTTTGAATCTACAAGGCTTTGTGGTGGCTCGGTTATTTTGTGCCCAGCCAGACTGCGGCACTCATTAATCCATTTAAAGAACGAAAAACTCAGTCTCATGAGTGCAACTGTTCTATGGTTTTTAACTTAGTGATTGAAAATGGTCTGTCTATACCATTGAGCCAAAGTGAATAGACTGTATTGATTTAAATGAATTTTAACTACCAACCCCTCAAATCATAGAAAGAATATAGGAGTGAGGGTGGGAAAGGGAATTTAGATCTAAGGTGGAAGGGAAGGTCAAAGGTGCTAAAACAGGAGCATATTTTTGCATAAAGGAGAAATCAGTGAAAAAACAAAAACTATATTTACAGTGCAGTGTAACATGCCTCATTTGAAATGATATGGGGACATTTAAAAGCCCACTATTACCTAACATAATGCATTTAAAATATCAGAAAATGAAAGAAATAATTAAAACATAATTTTGTGGCATATAACTAGTAATTGACATAAAAAATGAACCTAAGCAGAACAGAGAGTTCTGCTGTTATGACTTACCTCCTAAAAGTGCCACCTCTTAATACTATCACATTGGCAATTAAGTTTCAATACATGAGTTTGGGGAGACATTCAGATCATAGCAGTGTGTATAAGGTGACTCAGTTTTGAACTAAAACTTTTACACATATGAACAGATAGAATATTTCAATTATATATATTATATATTTATATATAAATTATATATATTTATATATAGTTCAAATATTCTGTGTATATGAAAAATATATATGAAAATACTAAGAGTAGACAGCTTATGGTGGATCACAGTTAAGATCAAAATACAAGATAATTAATCCATATTCACATTTTTAAAAGATAATACTAGATAAAATTATTATACTATAGTATGTGTCTGGTTAGAGATTGATGTCATAGAAATGAATCTTTACTGATTAAAGTTTGTCAAATATATATTTTTAATTAAAATGAGTTTATCCAGAGTTTTTATAAGAATTTGCCCGGGGGCTGGGGATGTGGCTCAAGCGGTAGCGCACTTGCCTGGTGTGCGTGTGGCCCGGGTTCGATCCTCAGCACCACATACAAACAAAGACGCTGTGTCTGCCGAAAACTAAAAAATAAATATTAAAATTCTCTCTCTCTTTCTGTCTCTCTCTCTTTTTTAAAAAAAAAAAAAGAATTTGCCTGTTTATTCCTGAATTATTTCTCTCATATTATGAACCTTCCTGGATTCTCCTTCTTGTTCTGTTCCATACTCTCATCACACAGATTGCCCCCTGCCCCTCCTTCACACACACCTCAACCACCTAGAGATAATCTCAAGGGAACATTCTTCAGTAATTTAGCATCCAAATCTATGCTAAAATCATGCTTTAGGCTTCCCGTGCCACGTAAAAATCTAAAAATTTCCAGAAAATTCTATTGGTTAAATTCAACTATAGAGAAGGGTTTTTCCCCTTTAACCTAAGTTTGTATTTTAAGATTTGTTAAAGGAAAAATATGTTATACATTAGTCACTTAATGGTCACACTGGACTATATGCAGTCAGGGAGCAATTTCATCATTCCATGTCTTTTGTTTCATATGCTTTCATGTCCTCTGGCTTTTATGCTTTATGTTATTCATCTTCTTTACATCATTGTGCAGCTTTTGCTTTAAGAGACATCAGCTATCCTCACAGGTGATTAGTCTAGAGTTATATTTTCACTGGAGACTATTCTCTGCATTTAAATAACAAATAATTTAAATAAAAGCAATTGCACACCCATACTGTGGATTTGAAGATCTTTTTTAATTGAGGATTGAACCTAAACCTAGTTAAAAGTATCTTCTAGATGTAAAGAATACCAGAATAAATCACTGTAGTAATCTTTTTGTTATTGCTAAAAGGTATATTCCTTGCATGGGCATTCCGAAAGGATTCAGCACAACTACACAAAGTAAGATTTCATTGTTACAGAAATTATTTGAAAATTTAGCTTGATGATATCTATTGTGTGTGGGGATGTGCACACACATGAAGGTACTAAATAAACTAGATCCACATCTTTGAACTCTCTTTGATACAGTTATTCACTGTAAGTCTTTTCTTCAGGAGGTTGTCTTTTAAAATGACTCCATTCTATAAGTGTTTGAATGAGGGTCTGAGTATTTTTACAGATTCTGGTATTCCAAAATCACTCAAAAGTAGTAACATAGGAAATGTAACTAATTATAATAAGACTTGCATTTGCTGGGCAACAAACATGATGAGAAAGTAACCTCTCTTAGATGCTAGAGACTGATGTTTGTGACTATGGGACACACATCTGTTGACTCTCAATTCAGTACTCAATACCACAGGCCTACCCCACTAAATATTTTGTCCTGTCAGTCTCTAGTGATAGCACAGACATGAGGTCCCTAAAAGGAAAGACTTTTCAACTTTATAGCAAGTTTGTATAGTAATGGTTCTCACAATCTTTCCACAAAGGGATCTATGGCCATTTATTA